CCCCTCCAGGTGAAAGCAAACTGTGGCCTGCACTCTGCTGCTAAAGGAATAGAGAAAAAGGCATTAGCAATGTCAATTGTAGCATACCATTTGGCTGCCTTTGACTCCAGTTCATACTGAAGTTGTAGCATGTCTGGCACAGCAGCACTCAGTGGTGGCGTGACTTAATTCAGGCCACGATAGTCTACTTTTAGTCTCCAGTCCCCATCAGACTTCCACACTGGCCATATGGGGCTGTTAAAGGGTGAGCGAGTCTTGCTGATCACTGCTTCGCTCTCTAGCTGTCGAATGAGGTTATGGATGGGAATCAGGGAGTCTCGGTTGGTGCGATACTGTCGTCAATGCACCGTGGCAGCAGCAATTGGCACCTGCTGATCTTCAACCCTCAACAGTCCCACAACAGAAGGGTCATCTGAAAGAGTGGGTAAGGTAGACAGCTGTGTAACGTCCTCAGTCTCTATAGCTGCTATACCAAAATCCCAGTCATACCCTTTTGGGTCTTTAAAATATCCTTTCTTGGGATAGTCTATGCCAAGGATGCACGGAGCATCTGGACCAATAACAATGGGGTGTTTCTCCCATTTATTCCCAGTTAGGCTCACTTCAGCCTCTAATACAGTCAGTTCTTGAGATCCACCTGTCACTCCAGAAATAGGAGGAATTTTGCCCCTTTATGATTCGATGGCAATAGAGTGCATTGTGCACCAGTGTCCACTAGGGCTTTTTACTTTTGTGGCTCTAACGTGCCAGGCCATGGAATCCACACAGTCCAATAAATTTGGTTGTCCCTCTCCTCCTCCTGGCTGGAGGCAGGACCCCTCTGATGTTGAGCACAGTACTCATGTAGTACTCATGATTAGGAGATGAGTTCCTACCCAGACTGGAGAACTGCTCACGGTAGGCTGGAGCAGCCATCCTCCCGGATGAATTTTTTCTTCTATCTGTTTTACCTTGCAGCTCACGTACTTGTACCTGTAGGGCCGAGGCAGGTTGTCCTTCCTACTTCGTCATGTCCTGTCTGTGGTCATGGAGGCAATACCACAGAATATCTCATGGGGTGTTCTGTCTCCTTTGATCCGGTCTCTATGAGGGCATCTTCTGCTAATGGCTGCAACGTGGTTCTGTTCGGGGGAAGAGTGGGATCTTTCCTCCATCCTGGACAGTTTATTGTTGCGACGGGGGAAGACATGGACACTCAATATGAGCAATCAGCAAGCTTCCTTTATTGAATAGCACAGCTGTCTTTTATAATGGGCTAAAACATATTCCATGTTTACTCTACTATAATTGGCTACTACATGTTTCATATATACTCTGCTATAATTAGTTATATGTGTTCCAACAACACAGCATTCCGATTGGTTCATCACTCCAGCCCTTAGCTCCTTATCTGTGGCTAGCTACCTCTTCTTCTCCCATGCAACTACTCCCTCTTTTCCCATGCCTGAGTAATCACAGGCTTCTCATTACCGTGTAGCACCTGCAGTCAGGGTAAGGGTGCCCTTGCCAATTAGCAATCACAGGAACTGGGTCCGATGTTTCCCAAGCTCCTGCTCAGCCAGCTGGATCATATCTATGTTACCCTTCTCAGCTAGCCAATTTCCCACAGTTTATCAAATAGTTTATCAAACAATTTCTCATTTTTCTCAGCTTTTTTCTTGGTAATTTCCTCAATTATTTTCTCGTTTTGCTCAGCCATTCTCTTGGTCGTTTTCTCAGTTTTCTCAGTCATTTTCTGATCCATTGTTTCCATGTCTTCCACAATGAGGGGACAAGAGAGACTGCCTTCATATTGTTGTACTCTGTTAGCCACTTCATATACAGTTAGTGTGTCGGTATCAGATCCTCCCCAGACCATTGTTGATAATGTGTGGGAATACGTTGATGGCGCACTCTGCGCAAACTTCCTCAGGAAAGATTGATTGCATGGCATTTCATCAAGGTCTACACTCACTCGCCAGTCACCATAAATCACCTCTCGCACAGCCAATTCTCTCAGGTACTTAATACCTTCTTCCATGCTGGTCCATTTGCTTGGATGGCATTTGATATCATCCCTAAAGGGATACCTGCTCTTTATGGCTGACACCAGTTGCCTGCAGAGACTGAGAGTGTTTGACTTTCTCCCAATCCCTTTATCAATACCTCCATCCCTGGCCAGGTTTCCCAATTGCCTAGCTTCTCT